GAAAAACCTGACTATGGGCGGGGCGAATTAACAGGAGATTAGGACCTAGTAAATTTGTGGTGCTACTGAACTGAGACTGTGAAAAAAGAGACGGTGGGGGAGAGAACTCACGGAATTCACGTGAGTACTCACCAGAGACGCTATAATTCCGTAACTTTGGCAACCCAGTGGGAGACTGAAGGAGAATTTGAGCCCACTCTGAGGGCCGAACAGACTCCCTGTGTGGTCCTTGGGAAAGAGCTTCCGATCTCTGTCTCCTGTGGGTATATCGTTTGCCTGCTAACTACCTCCAACTTTGTTCAGCTGTGCAGAATTACTTCCCTTTTGAATCAAAAAAAGAAAGAGAGAGAGAGAGAGAGATCTACCATGCATAGCCTGGGAGTGTCACCTTTGGCACACCAAACAGAGCTCTCAGGCCACAGCCATCTCAAGCCTCTAAGGCTCCATCAAAAACAGACAGTCCACTTAATCTAGAGTCATAGTATAACAAGAAAAAGCACCCCAGTGAAGAAACCAAATATCTCCAATATGCCAAATAACAAACACAAAAATCGAGGTAATAAAAACAAGGAAGTCACCATGACGCCCCCAAATGAAAGACACCCCAATTCAAGATTATGAAGATGACGAGATAGAAGAAATGCAAGAAGCAGATCTCAAAAAATTGATAAGAACATTAAGAAGTTCTCAAAAACAAATTCTTGAACTACAGAAATCCTTAATGGACAAGATAGAAAATCTCTCTCGTGAAAATGAAATATTAAGGAGGAATCAAAATGAAACGCAGAAACTAGTAGAACAGGAAACTGTGATAGTGACGAGAAATCATAATGAAGTGAAGAATTCAATAGATCAAATGAAAAACACAATAGAGAGCCTTACAAACAGAATGGGTGAAGCAGAAGAGAGAATATCGGACTTAGAAGACAGAGAACAGGAAAGGATACAGTCAGACCAAAGAAAAGAGGAAATTAGAAGTCTAAAACATATTGTCTGGAATCTTCAGGATACTATTAAAAAAACCAACATTCGGGTTCTAGGAGTTCCTGAAGGCATGGAGAGGGAGAAAGGATTAGAAGGCCTTTTTAGTGAGATACTAGCAGAAAATTTCCCAGGTTTGGAGAAGGACAGAGACATCCTAGAACAGGAAGCTCACAGAACCCCTAATAAACATGACCCAAAGAGATCCTCACCACAACACGTTGTAATTAAACTCTCCACAGTGAAACATAAAGAAAAGATCCTAAAATGTGCAAGAGAGAAACGTCAGATTACTCTCAGAGGATCTCCAATCAGACTCACAGCTGACTTCTCATCAGAAACTCTACAAGCTAGGAGGGAATGGAGAGATATAGCCCAGGTACTAAGAGAGAAAAACTGCCAGCCCAGAATATTATATCCTGCAAAGCTCTCATTTGTGAATGAAGGTGAAATAAAGACTTTTCATAGCAAACAGAAATTGAAAGATGTCAGGGAATGGGACAGCCTGGCCAGCTGTGCCCCTCCCGACATGTACAAGCACAAGAAGTTTAGTGCTGGGCTTTTTCCACCCTGCCCGTTGCTAACTGCAAGATCCTGTTTTGACTTTAAGCATCCTGTTATTGCATGTTTCCCACACTTACTCTTGCTGAACTGGTAACATGTTTTCCGTGAATCATATATAAATAGGTGGACAGTGGGCGGGAGTTATGAATGAACGCTGGTAAAAGGCGGAGTTGTGAATGAACGCCGGTAACAGGCGGGAGCTGTGAATGAACGCCAGTAGTAAGCGGGAGTGGTGAATGAAGGAGTTGTGAATGAATGCTGGTAACAGGGCGGGCGTTCGCGACATGTAACGCGAGTCTGCTGAAAAATAAAGTGGAAGTTGAAAAGCCAATAAACGCGTCTGGTGTCTCTGAGGTCTCGCCGGCGTTAACCTATCCGGAAGGTGTACGCCTGCAGAAAGAATTTGTCGCCACTCGCCCAGCCCTGCAAAAGATGCTTAAAGATGTGTTACACACAGAAACACAGAAACACGGTCATCAATATGAAAGAAGGTAAAGGAAGGAAACCTCACAGCAAAAGATCACAGGGAATTCAAAGCACATATTAGAACTTATCTTTGGCAAATGGCAGAGCAAAGTTACCACTTATCGTTAGTCACATTGAACGTGAATGGCCTGAACTGTCCAGTTAAAAGACACTGATTGGCTGATTGGGTTAAGGAACAAAACCCATCTATTTGCTGCTTACAAGAAACACATCTTTCCAACAAAGATCCATACAGACTGAAAGTGAAAGGCTGGAAAAACATATACCATGTAAACAGAAATGAAAAAAGAGCGGGCGTAGCCATCTTAATATCGGACAACATAAACTTTACCACAAAAACTGTTAAGAGAGACAAAGAGGGACACTATATAATGATTAAGGGATCAATACAAGAAGATATAACAATTATCAATGTATATGCACCTAACTACAGGGCACCGGTTTATCTAAAAGATTTGTTAAGGGACTTAAAGGGAGACTTAGACCCCAATACAATAGTACTGGGGGACTTCAATACTCCACTCTCAGAAATAGATCAATAGGACAGAAGATCAACAAGGATACAGTACATTTGAACGACACTATAGGCCAAATGGATCAAACAGATATATACAGAACTTTCAATCCTACACAGAAAGCATTTACATTCTTCTCAGCAGTACATGGAACCTTCTCTAGGATTGACCAGATACCAGGCCATAAAGCAAGTCTCAGCAAATTCAAAAGAATTAGAATCATACCATGCAGCTTCTCAGACCATAAAGGAATGAAGCTGGAAATTAGCAACTCAGGAATCCCTAGAGCATATGCAAACACATGGAGATTGAACAACATGCTCCTAAATGAACAATGGGTCATAGAAGAAATTAAACGAGAAATCAAAAATTTTCTGGAAGTAAATGAGGATAACAGCACAACATACCAAAACTTATGGGATGCAGCAAAAGCAGTGTTAAGAGGAAAGTTTATATCAATAGGTGCAGACAACAAGAAATTGGAAAGGCACCAAATAGATGAGCTTTCAATTCACCTCAAGGATCTAGAAAACCTACAGCAAACCAGACCCAAATCTAGTAGGAGAAGAGAAATAATTAAAATCAGAAGAAATCAACAGGATTGAATCCAAAAAAAACATTACAAAAAATCAGTCAAACGAGGAGCTGGTTTTTTGAAAAAATAAACAAAATTGACACCCCATTGGCCCAACTAACTAAAAAAAGAAGAGAAAAGACCCAAATCAATAAAATCATAGATGAAAAAGGAAACGTAACAACAGACACCACAGAAATAAAAAGAATCATCAGAAATTACTACAAGGACCTGTATGCCAGCAAACAGGGAAACCTATCAGAAATGGATAGATTCCTGGACACATACAACCTACCTAAATTGAACCAGGAAGACATCGAAAACCTAAACAGACCCATAACTAAGACAGAAACTGAAACAGTAATAAAGGCCCTCCCAACAAAGAAAAGCCCAGGACCAGATGGATTCACTGCTGAATTCTACCAGACATTTAAAGAAGAACTGACTCCAATTCTTCTCAAACTATTCAGAACAATCGAAAAAGAGGGAGTCCTCCCAAATTCTTTCTATGAAGCCAGCATCACCTTAATTCCTAAGCCGGAAAAAGATGCAGCATTGAGGGAATTACAGACCAATATCCCTGATGAACATAGATGCAAAAATCCTCAATAAAATTCTCGCCAATAGAGTACAACAGCACATCAGAAAGATCATCCACCCAGACCAAGTGGGATTTATCCCTGGTATGCAGGGATGGTTCAACATTCGCAAATCAATCAATGTGATTCACCACATTAACAGACTGCAGAAGAAAAACCATATGATTATCTCAATAGACGCCGAGAAAGCATTTGATAAAATACAACACCCGTTCATGATGAAAACTCTAAGCAAACTGGGTTTGGAAGGAACATTCCTCAATACAATCAAAGCAGTCTATGAAAAACCCACAGCCAACATCCTATTGAATGGGGAAAAGTTGGAAGCATTTCCACTGAGATCGGGTACCAGACAGGAATGCCTACTCTCACCACTGCTATTCAATATAGTTCTGGAAGTTCTAGCCAGAGCTATTAGGCAAGAAAAAGAAATTAAAGGGATACGAATTGGGAAGGAAGAACTCAAATTATCCCTCTTTGCAGATGATACGATTCTTTATTTAGGGGACCCAAAGAACTCTACTAAGAGACTATTGGAACTCATAGAAGATTTTGGCAAAGTAGCAGGGTATAAAATCAATGCACAAAAATCAACAGCCTTTGTATACACAGACAATGCCATGGCTGAGGAAAACCTTCTAGGACCAATCCCATTCACAATAGCTACAAAAACAATCACATACCTTGGAATAAACTTAACCAAGGACGTTATAGATCTCTACAATGAAAATTACAAAACCTTAAAGAAAGAAATAGAAGAGGATACCAAAAAATGGAAAAATCTTCCATGCTCATGGATTGGACGAATCAATATCATCAAAATGTCCATTCTCCCAAAAGCAATTTTTAGATTCAATGCAATACCAATCAAGACACCGAAGACCTTCTTCTCAGATCTGGAAAAAATGATGCTGAAATTTATATGGAGACACAGGAGACCTCGAATAGCTAAAGAAATCTTGTACAACAAAAACAAAGCCGGAGGCATCACAATACCAGATTTCAGGACATACTACAGGGAAGTTGTAATCTAAACAGCATGGTACTGGTACAGAAACAGATGGATAGACCAATGGAACAGAATTGAAACAGCAAAAATCAATCCAAACATCTACAGCCAACTGATATTTGATCAAGGATCCAAAACCAATCCCTGGAGTAAGGACAGTCTATTCAATAAATGGTGCTGGGAAAACTGGATTTCCACGTGCAGAATCATGAAGCAAGACCCCTACCTTTCACCTTACACAAAAATCCACTCAACATGGATTAAAGACTTAAATCTATGACCTGACACCATCAAATTATTGGAGAGCACTGGAAAAACCCTGCAAGATATAGTTACCGGCAATGACTTCTTGGAAAACACCCCAGAAGCACAGGCAGTCAAAGCCAAAATTAACATTTGGGATTGCATCAAATTGAGAAGTTTCTGTACTGCAAAAGAAACAGTCAGGAAAGTGAAGAGACAACCGACAGAATGGGAAAATATATTTGCAAACTATGCAACTGATAAGGGTTGTAACCAGAATCTACAAAGAAATCAAGAATCTCCATAACATCAAAACAAACAACCCACTTAAGAGATGGGCCAAGGACCTCTATAGACATTTTTCAAAAGAGGAAATCCAAATGGCCAACAGACACATGAAAAAATGTTCGAGATCACTAGCAATCAGGGAAATTCAAATCAAAACCACAATGAGGTTTCACCTCACCCCAGTTAGAATGGCTCACATTCAGAAATCTACCAACAATAGATGCTGGAGAGGATGTGGGGAAAAAGGGACACTAACCCACTGTTGGTGGGAATGCAAACTGGTCAAGCCACTATGGAAGTCAGTCTGGAGATTCCTCAGAAACCTGAATATAACCCTACCATTCAACCCAGCCATCCCACTCCTTGGAATTTACCCAAAGGAAATTAAATTGGCAAACGAAAAAGCAGTCTGCACATTAATGTTTATTGCAGCTCAATTCACAATAGCTAAAACCTGGAACCAACCCAAATGCCCATCAAAGTAGACTGGATAAAGAAATTATGGGACATGTACTCTATAGAATACTATACAGCAGTCAAAAACAACGAAACCCGGTCATTTGCAACAAGATGGAGGAGTTTGGAAAACATCATGCTGAGTGAATTAAGCCAGTACCAAAGGGACAAATATCATATGTTCTCCATGATTGGTGACAACTGACTGAACAATAAAAAGGAAACCTCCTGAAGTGAAATGGACACTATGAGAAACGGTGACTTGATCAGCTCTTGTCCTGACGGTTGATGTACAATGTAATACTTTATCCATTTTAGTATTTTTTTGTTCTAGTACCATTGATTGAACTCTGTAATTAACACACAATTATTCTTAGGTGTTTAAATTTTAACTGAAAAGTGATCCCTGTTAGGAATTTGGAAAACATTATGCCTAGTGAAATAAGCCAATCCCAAAGGAAAAATACCACTTGTTCTCCTTGATAGGTGACAACTAACTGAGCACCAAAAAGGCAACCTGTTAAAGTGAAATGAACACTATGAGAAACGGTGACTTGATCAGCCCTCACCCTGACTGTTGATGAGCAGGTTAATATGTTATCCCTTTTAGTATTTTTTTTGTTTGTTCTACTTAATACTTTTGGTTGAATACTGTAATCAATACACAATTCTTCTTAAGTGCTGAAACTTAACTGAAAAGTGATTGCTGTTAAATGTAAGAGTGGGAATGAGAGGGAAGAGATGTGCAATTTGGGACATGCTCAAGCTGACTTGCCCCAAACGGTAGAGTTAGAAACATACCAGGGGATTCGAATTCAATCCCATCAAGGTGGCATGTACCAATGCCATCTCACTAGTCCAAGTGATCAATTTCTGTTCACAATTGATCATAATGATAGGACTAAGAACCAAAGGGATCACATAAACAAGAATAGTGTCTGCAAATACTAGCTGATAGAATCAAAAAGGGAGAGAATTGTCCAACATGGGAAGTGAGATACACAGCAGACCCATAGAATGGCAGATGTCCTAACAGCACTCTGGCCTCAGAATCAGCCCTTAAGGCATTTGGATATGGCTGAAGAGCCCATGAGAGTATTTCAGGCATGGAAAGCCAAGACACTCTGGGGGGGAAAAAAAACCTAAATGAAAGGTCTCTGTGAGTGAGATCCCAGTGGAAAGAACGGGTCATCAAAGAAGGAGGTACCTTTCTCTGAAGGGAGGAGAGAACTTCCACTTTGACCATGGCCTTGTCTAAATATGATCAGAGTCAGTGAACTCAGGGGGCTTCCATAGCGTTGGCAGCTCATGACAAGAGCCTAGGGTGATTACTGATGCCATAAGCAAGAGTGTCGATTTGTTAAGTCAACAATAGGAGTCACTGTGCACTTACTCCTCATGTAGGATCTTTGTCCTTAGTGTGCTGTACATTGAGATTTAATGCTATAACTAGTACTCAAACAGTATTTTTCACTTTATGTTTCTGTGTGGGAGCAAACTGTTGATATCTTTACTTAATGTATGCTAAACTGATCTTCTGTATATAAAGAGAATCGAAAATGAATCTTGATGTGAATGGAAGGGGAGAGGGAGTGGATAAGTGGAGGGTTGCGGGTTGGAGGGACGTTATGGGGTGGAAGCCATTGTAATCCATATTCTGTACTTTGGAAATTTATATTCATTAAATAAAAGTTAAAAAAATTCACAGAAGTGAATGTGTCATTTGGTATATCTATTTTCAGATCTCCAAGGGATCGCTATACTGTCTTCCATAATGGTTTTACTAGTTTACATTCCCACCAGCAGTGTATTAGGGTATCTTTTCCACCACACCTGTAAAATCACTATTACCAAGGATGTAAAGCTATTAGAACCCTGCTACATTGCTTTGAAAAAATAGCTTGGCAATTTCTCAGAAAAAATAAACATATAATTACAACATTATCCAGCACTCTGCCCCTAAATATATTCTCCAAATAATTTAACTCAAATACTCAAAACAAATAAATGTGCATGCATGTCCACAGTGGTATTACTCGCAATAACCAAAAACTGGAAATCATTCAAATGTCCATCAGTGTTTAAATGAATATACTTGAAAATAATTCAGCCATAAGAAGAAATAGAGCAAGTTAACTTTAACCAATAAAACAGCCCAAAGGAAAGAGAAAAGGAGGGAAAGAGGGAATGAGAGTGGGAAGAAGGAAGGAAGGATGCATCAAAAAGAACAAGGCAACATCTCGGAGTTATGCTGGGCAGTACATGACTAATACCCATATGACTGAACCTGCTTTCACAGGGAGGTTCCTGCTACCATGTTGAAAATCACATCACTGTTCCTATGACGAGAAAGATAGCAAAGATAAGAGCGTGGGCTCAGTATCAGCTTGCTGGGTTATTGTCCGATCCAATCTCACTCTTCCTTTGAGAAATGGAATGCAAGAGAGAAAATTTCTCAATGAAACATTTTCATGATTAAAGAAGTCATTCATGTAAAAGCAATGAGCACAGACCTGATACCATAGGCCCTCTGCCTTTGCTGTATGATTTCCATTCCGTTTCTTCCAAGGAAGAACAAGCACATGATAGAATGGAGGGGAAGGGCACAATATTTGAGTACTTTTATTTTTAATTGAGAAGGTAGTTATACATATTTACGGGGTACAATGTGATGGTTAAATATTTATATACACTGTGGAATAATATATGTCTATTACCTTGAACATTCATCATTTCTTTGTGGGAAGAACATTTAAAAGCCTCAAAAGCATAATTTTAAGGCAACCTCAGCATTTTATTTGGAAGTACTTCATATGTCAGATCAGAAATCTCAAGAATGCCTGTAAAAAGAAAAACTGACCAAAGATGGAACTGTAAGGATATCCCCTCCAAATTAGGGCATCGTCAAAGATGGAATCTTGATCTCATAAATACAATGGATCTGTTACCTCTATTGACCACCATACAACATTCCTGTATATGAAGTCATTATGACTTCTTTTTCAGGGAATACTTGCTAGGTATATTCTTCCAAGAAAAGAAAAAAAAATGTGGGCTAAATAACAAGAAACAAGGGGCTGGTGCTGTGGCATAGTGGGTGAAGCTGCTGTCTGTAGTGCTGGCATCCCATATGGGTGCCAGTTCAAGTCCTGGCTGCTCCACTTCCAATCCAGCTCTCTGCTATGGCCTGGGAAAGCAGTAGAAGATGGCCCAAGTCCTTGGGCCCCTGCACCCATGTGGAAGACCTGGAAGAAGCTCCTGGATCCTGGCTCCAGATCAGTGCAGCTCCAGCCATTGAAGCCAACTGGGGAGTGAACCAGCACATAGAAGACACCTCTCTCTCTCTCTCCCATTCTCTCTCTCTCTCTCTCTGCCTCTCCTTCTCTCTCTTCTCTTTTTTTTGACAGGCTTCTTTCAAATGACTAAATAAATCTTTTTTAAAAAAGGAAGAAACGAAAATACTCGATCATTAAAATAAAGCACAAAGCGTGTGTGTGTGCATTCTCTCAAGTGAGCATGTCTTGCATCAAAATCAACACAGTTAATTGGCAAACTATATGATGGATGAATTTGACCAAAAATTACCCAAAATTATAGAAACTGAACCACCCTAAAAAAACAAAAAGCAAACTTAAGATTTTAAATTAAATATTTAAAATTCTCCATGATAGAAAAGTGGGTCACTATCATGAATGTTTAGATAATTAAAATGAATTATAGACAAAAAAATTAGTTTAGGAAAATGAACAAGACATATGCCCCTGAAATAGAAGAACTTGAACTAAGAGAGGAAGGATGGGTCATCGTGTCAGAGCAAGGAAGACAGACACAACCTAGGCTGAGATAGAATGTTCAGCTGCCCTCTCGGGCAGTGAGCTTGGTGTAGGAAGAGAATTGAGAGGCTGCTGAAATGGAGAGTGGAGAAGGCCAGCAGGGACAGATGGTATGAAGCCCAGAGTAGAGCACCCTACACTTTGCCTTGATGGCCCCTCTCACACTGAGATATCAGTGTTCATTTGTGAGTCTGAATTTGCTCTTTTTAGTTTCTAGGGACTTACCTGGTACTGTTACATTGTGGGTGCTGAATAAAGGATGTAAAATAAACAATGAGACCAAGATGTCAACCGTATAAAAGAAATTGTCAAGCTTACTGTGTGCATACCTGTAGACACAGATTTGAGTAGTATTTTAACTAGTTTTTAACAGATTCAATGTGATACGTAGATACAATTCTAAGAACATAATAATATTCCCTTCCTCCCTCCCCCTCTTTTCTCTCCCAACCCTATCCTTCCTTCTCCCTCTTTTTTTTGAGGTAATATATTTTAAATTTACATTATAGTAAAGGGGCTTAATACTTCACTGAAGTTTAACAAATGAAAACAAAACAGACCCTGGTTTAGTGGAAATATAGACAGTGGCTTTAAGTAATAACTGAAAGGAAAAATGACCATTTCACCCATATACAGTAAATTTTAAAGTAATCACAGTTCAAACTATAGAAGTTTAACATTCTTAATCATTGGCTTGACAAAGTTTTAAAACAAGATTTTGTTTTAAAAAAAGATTTATTTATTTATTTGAAAGGCAGCGTTAGAGAGAAGCAGAGGCAGAGAGAAAGGCCAGTGCCACAGCTCACTAGGCTAATCCTCCGCGTGGGTTTTAGTCACAGCTGGGGCACTGGATTCTGTCCCGGTTGCTCCTCTTCCAGTCCAGTTCTCTTCTGTGGCCCGGGAAGGCAGTGGAAGATGGCCTAAGTCCTTGGGCCCTGCAGCCGCATGGGAAATCAGGAGGAAGCACCTGGCTCCTGGCTTCGGATTGGCGCAGTGCGCTGGCCATAGTGGCCATTTGAGGGGGGTGAGCCAATGGAAGGAAGACCTTTCTCTCTGTCTCTCTGTCTCTCTCTCTCTAACTCTGCCTGTTAAAAAAAATAAAGACAGGCAGAGAGAGAGAGGTCTCCATCTGCTGTTTCACTCCCCAAATGGCTGCAGTGGCTAGAGCTGTGCTGATCTGGAGCCAGGAGCCAGGAGCCAGGAGCCAGAGCTTCTTTTGGGTCTTCCATATGGGTGCAGGGGTCCAAGGACTTGAACCATCTTCTATTGCTTTCCCAGGCCACAGCAGAAAGCTGAATTGGAAGTGAAGCAGTGGGGACTTGAACTGGTGCCCATATGGGTTTCCAGCATATGGGTTGCCCATACGGGTTGAACTCTAGAAAGTAAAATGGTGACATCAGAGTCTGTAGGGCAGGGAATTGAGCACATTTGATCAAAGGATACAAAATCTATGTTAGGGAGGAGGAATAAATCCAAGACATCTACTGTACATCATGCTGAGTACAGTTAATAATAATACATCATATATTTGAAAGAAACTGAAAGATATACATGATGAGGCAAATATTAGCAAATATGCTCATCTACCTCATAAGGGTAAAGTGTCCAGAATATATAAAGAACCCTTCCAGTCAGAAATAAAAAAAGTACACACACACACACACACACCAAAAATGAGGAAATACTTGAAAAGACATTTCTCCAAAGAAGACAAGACACTTTGCCAGCAAGTACACAGAAATCTGATCAATCACTAGGGAAATCTGAATCAAAATAACAATGAGATAACTCTTCAAACTCACTAGGAAGCCATCATTTTCTTTTTAAAGAGAACAATTTTAAAGTATTGGGAATGATGTTAAGATATTATAACCTTGATACATTTCTAGGAATGTAAAATGTGCTAACTACCATGAAAAACAGTTTTGTAGTTACTCAAAAAGTCAAACATACAATTAAGGTATAGCCTAGCAAGTGTGATACATAGGTATGTTCCCCCAGTAATGGAAAAGAAGTACTCAAGAAAATGTTCAAACATGTCCACAAAGGTACCCTTCACAATAGCCGAAATATTGAAATAACCCAATTGTCGATCAGAGAGTGAATGGATATACAAGTTGTATACACAAACAGTGGAATACTATTCAGTCAAGAAAAGGAGCAAAGCAAATTAGCACTAACCAACAAAACAGCCACAGAGGAAGATGAAAGGATTCAAATAAGGATGAAAAGAGTGAAGGAAGGAAGGAAGAAGCAAGAAAATAAGAATGAGGCAGCATCCCAGAGTTATCACAGGTAGTACATCAGTATGGATCATGTGAACAAACCAGCTTTGTGGCTAGACTCCAGCTTTTCTTTTCTCTTTCATTTCTTTTTTTTTCTTTTTTGACAGGCAGAGTTAGACAGTGAAAGAGGGAGAGACAGAGAGAAAGGTCTTCCTTTTTTCCATTGGTTCACCCCCCAGATGGCCGCTACGGCCAACGTGCTGTGCCAATCTGAAGCCAGGATCCAGATGCTTCCTCCTGGTCTCCCATGTGGGTGCAGGGCCCAAAGACCTGGGCCATCCTCCACTGCCTTCCCGGGCCACAGTAGAGAGCTGGACTGGAAGATGAGTGACTGGGACAGAATCCAGCGCCCCAACCGGGACTAGAACCCAGGGTGCTGGTGCCGCAGGTGGAGGATTAGCCTAGTGAGCCGTGGCGCCAGCCAAAAATCCAGCTTTTCATATTGAAAATCACGTCACTATGTTTAGAAAAAGCAGGATGGCTAAGTTAGGGGTATGGGCCTTCTTAGTGTCAAGTTGCTAGATTGTTGTCCATCACTATCTCAGTTTCTTCATCCAAGAAATAGGGTGAAGGAAGAGGATCTCTCACACATCTTCAGGATTAGAAAGCATCATCTATGTAATGCAAGCACAGTTTTGATATGGTCAGCACTTATCTTGCACTGTCATATGATGTTCACTTCAATATTCCAGAGAAAACAAAAACACAAATCAACAAGACAAAAATCAGCATACAAGAGGGCAAATTTTGAAAGCTTTATTATTAACTGACAAACAATAATTTTATATATTTATGGAGTACAAGGTGATTTTTCAATACACATACAAATTGTGAAATTATCCAATCAGAGAAATAAATATAACTATGGCCTCAAATATTAATCCATTTTTTGTTATGAGAAAACTTAAAATTCACAAGATGATAATTGGTCCTTTTAAAATGTTTTTATTAGCATGCAATAATTACAGAATTTTAAAATTTTTTTGAAAGGCAGAGGGACAGAGAAAAAGGGAGAGACAAGGATCTTTCACCTACTGGTTCACTTCCTATATGCCTCAAACAGCCAGGGCTGAGCCAGGCCGAAGACAGAAGCCTAGAATTCCATCCAGATTTCTAACATGGGTAGCAGGAACCCAAACACTTGTGCCATCATCTGCTACCCTACAAGGCACATTAGCAGAGAGTCAGATCATAAGCAGAGTAGCTGGGAGTTAAACTGGCACATCAATGTGGAAAACAGGTTAAGTGACAGCTTAACCTGCTGCACCACAATTTCAACCCCAATACTTAACACATTTTTATTGAGTACAGTGAAGTATTTCAACTACACGGTAAGCTGATAAGGCCAGGAAACTGGCTTTTCCATTTCTTTATCTTTTCTTTGTGTTAGGAGCCTAGATAATCCTCTTTTCTGGTTCTTTATAAGGCACATAATATATTATTGTGAAACAAAGGACCCTAATTTGTTGTGGAATACTAGAACTTATTGCTTCTGACTGAGAATCCAGGTAGGAAAAGGCCAAATGATCTGAGTAGACATTTCTCAGAAGAAGAAATGCAAATGGCCAAGAACACTCAATATCACTAGCCATGAAGGAAATTCAAATCAAAACCACAACAAGAGCATAATTTTGTAAAGCTTTAGTTATTTAAATCACAGAGTTGCAGAGATGGAGAGAGAAATGTTCCACCCACTGGTTAACTCCCAATATGGCTGCAATGTAGAGGGGTGGACCAGGCTGAAGCTAGGAGCCTGGAACTCCATCTGGGTCTGCCACACGGGTGGAAGGGGTCCAAGCATTTGTATAATATTCTGAGTTTTTCCAAGGGCATTGCCAGGAAACCGAATGGGAAGTGAAGCACATGGGACTCAAACTGGCATACAGGTGACAGCTTAACCTAGTACCAAAACACCAGCCCCAATAAGAGGATAACTTTTGAGGAAACCCTGTGAACACTTTAGAGTATAAGTAATGTATAGGACATTTAGAATTAGGAATTTCTGAAAGAGAAACAACCACACATGGAATTTACAGGACCATGTATAAGGAAGAAAAGATGAGATGGGTGTACTGAGGAAACTGAGGAGAAGCAAATGTAAAAATATATACAACCAAAACCATAGATTCTTGAGAAACAGAAGAAATCAAAGGATGTCCTTTGTCGGAGAAAAGAGCCAGGATATGAAATTCACATTTCCCCCACCTGCAATGTCCTGAGCCTTAGTTCATGGATTCATCAAGGACAAGGCACTGCTCTGCCGAGGAGCTGGCCCAAAGCCCCCTTCACATCCTTGTTCCTCAGGCTGTAGATGAAGGGGTTCAGCATCGGGGTGACCACAGTGTATATCACTGAGGCAATGGAGATTCTCAGGGAAGCTTGTGTCACAGCAGAACTGAGATAGACGCCAAAAGCTGATCCATAGAACAAGGAGACCACAGAGAGGTGAGAACTACAGGTAGAAAATGCTCTGTACTTGCTCACAGCAGAGGACATCCTCATTAAGGAGGAGAAAATCTGAGAGTAAGAGAAGAGGATCCCGGCGGCAGGAAACAAGCCCAGCAGGGCAGTTGCCACATACAAGGTGATGTCATTGATGAAGGTATCAGAGCTGGCCACCTTGAGAAGCTGAGCCAGTTCACAGAAGAAGTGGGGAATCTCAGTGCCAGTAGAGAAAGTCAGCCTCATCAGCAGCAGAAGGTGAAGCAGGGAGACCCAGGAAAGGAAGCACCACGACATCAGAACCAGGAAGACACAGAGGCGGGGGTTCATGACTACTGTGTACTGTAGAGGGTGGCAGATGGCCACAAACCGGTCATAAGCCATGATGGTCAGTAGGAAATGATCCATTCCAGCAAAAATCAATAAAAAATACACCTGGATGAGACATTCTATGTAGGTGATGTCCTTGCTGTGTGCCTGGATGTTCACCAGCATCTTTGGGACTGTGGTGGAGACAAAACAGATGTCAACAAAGGACAGGTTGCAGAGGAAGAAGTACATGGGGGTGTGGAGGTGGGAGGCAGAGATGGTGGCCAAGATGATGAGCATGTTCCCAAGCACTGTGGCCGTGTACATGGACAGGAACAACCCAAAGATCAGTGGCTGCAGCTCAGGATCATCTGAGAGGCCCAGGAGGAGGAACTGTGATTTTCCTGTGTGGTTTTCTACTTCCATAGAGCTGGGGAATCTTGTAGGAAAGGAGGCAAGACAATACTGAATCAACAGCCAACTGGAACCACATCATCAACAAACTGCCCTTGATGGATATCTGTGATCTTCTATTGAGTCCTGCCAATGACTCTTCCAATTTCTAGAGGATTTCCCAGGTGAACATGCATAATTATCCTGACTTCCTTTATTTGCCAGTAATCTCTTCCTTTATCATCTACTTACTAGTTCTACTTCTCCAGCTGGAATCTACGCTCATAAATGAGTTTTTTCTTTGGGATTACTCTACAAAGCCTTTAGAAACACAGTATGTTCTTTTTTTTTTTGATAATATCCATCATTCCAACATTCTAATATCTATACAATGGTAATTAAAGCATGGCTTTCAACTCAAATAACCTTTGTCTTGTGCTGATACTTCCTAGTGATATAGAAGTCCACTCTCAGTGTCTTATGCTTTTCCTTCTAAAAAATGTGGTTATTACTACTATCTCCTTGTGAAGTGTAAAAATGTCTCGGTACACAGTAAGAATCAATGAGTATTAGATGTCATTATTAACACTTTAAACTCTTCCTGTTTTAAAAAAATTATTTTATTTGGAAGGCAGGGTGGGGGGAGAGAGAGAGAGATATGTCAACCTCCCATGCACTGGCTCACTACCCAGATGGCATGAATGGCAAGGGCTGTGCCAGGCTTGAAAAAGGATCTTCATCCAGACTCACACAGGTGTGGCAGTGGCCCAAGCACTTGGGCAATATTCCACTACTTTTAAAGGTACATTAGCATGAAGCTGGATTGAAAGTGGAACAACCAGACACAAAAACAGCACCCATATGCGATGCCAGTGTTGCAGATGGCAGCTTTACCGACTATGCCACAATGCCAGCCCCTAAACTCGTCCTTTTATGATAATAATTTCAGATACATAAGTCTCTCCAGGTATAGTAAGATAGTATATGTAGCAAAATTAATTTAGATGATGCATGTGATTTTGCTACTGGGATTCTTATGACATACAGTGAGCATTTCAAAAATGAGAACTTTTAACATCACAATAAATATTTCTTGTATGGATACATTTGGCTCTTGAATTGGGTCAGCCATCAAGAATGGAATTCTGATCATGTTAATACAATAGTTCTATGACCTCTTTTGACTGTTGTACAGCACTTCTATTTCATGAAGATCCCCCTGGCTCCTTCTTAGACAGAATGTCTGCCAGGTTAATTCTTTTAAGAAGAAGAAAAGGCATGGGACAACATCAAGGAGAGAAGGACACAAAAACACACAGTCAATGACATAAAATGTAAGGGATGTATGTCTGTGTACCCACAAATGCATACTCTCAAGTACAAATGCATTACTTTTTTTAAAACAATGTATTTCTTTTAAAGATTTATCCATTTATGTGAAAGGCAGAGTTACACAGAGAAAAAAGGAGAGGCAGAGAGAGAGAGAGAGAGAGAGAGAGGTCTTCCATCTGCTGGTTCACTCCCCAACTGGCCAGTACAGCTGGAGCCATGCCAATCTGAAGCCAGGAGCTTCTTCCAGGTCTCCCACGTGGGTGCAGGGGCTCAAGGACCTGAGCCATCCTCTACTGCTTCCCAGGCTAACGCAGAGATCTGGATTAGAAGTGGAGCATCTGGGTCCTGACTGGCGCCCATATGGGATAACAGTACCACAGGCGGTGGCTTTACCCACTACGTCCCAGCGCAGACCCCCAGACACATTCTACTTAAACTGTTAATATTCAGAGTCTATAAAGAGCTCAAGAAACTCAACAACAAAATACAGTCCAGTTAAGAAATGGGCAAAGGATTTCAACAAGCATTTTTTTAAAAAGGATATCCAAATGGCCAACAGATACATGAAAAAATGCTCAGGATCACTAGCCATCAGAGAAATGTAAATAAAAACCATAATGAGGCTTCACCTCTCCCCTGTTAGAATTGCTTTCTACAGAAATCAACAATCAACAAATGCTGGTGAGGATGTGGGGAAAAAGGTAGTCTGGTCCATTGTTGATGGGAATCTAAACTGATAGAACCACTGTGGAAGACAGATGGAGAGACCTCAGAAATCTGAATACAGACCTACCATAGGACCCAGTCAACCCACTCCTGGGAATAAACCCAAGGGAAATAAAATCAGCATATGAAAGAGTTATCTATACCCCCACGTACACTGAAGCTCAATTCACAATAGCTAATATATTGAATCAACCCAAATGTCTGTCAACTGAAAACTGGATAAGGAAATGATGGGATATGTACACTATGGAATACTACACAGCTGTAAAAATGAAATCCTGTCATTTGCAACAAAATGGATGCAACTGGAAAACATTATACTTAAGTGAAAAAGCCACCCCAAAGGACAAATACCATGTGTTCTCCCTGACCTATGGTAACTAAGAGAGGCCCTAAAAGGTGATGTATAGAAGTGAAATTGACACTTTGAGATGCAACGACTTTGAACAGCCCTTGTCTCAACCATTGTGGAACAGTTTCTTTTTTCATACTATTTGTTGCACTCTTTTTTTTTTCATTTATTTATCTGACAGGTAGAGTTATAGACAGTGAGAGAGAGACAAAGGTCTTCCTTCCATTGGTTCACTCCCCCAATGGCACCGATCCAAAGCCAGGAGCCAGGTGCTTCCTCCTGGTCTCCCATGCGGGTACAGGGGCCCGAGCACTTGGGCCATCCTCCACTGCCCTCTGGGGCCACAGCAGAGAGCTGGACTGGAAGAGGAGCATGGGGACTAGAACCCGGTGCCCAAATGGGATGCGGGTGCTGCAGGCGGAGAATTAACCAAGTGATCCAGGGTGCCAGCCCTGAACTCTTTAATAGTATAGAGTTAATCTCCTGTGTATAAAGTCAATTGATAATAGGTCCTAGTAAAAAATAAGAATGGAACAGGAGAGGGAGGAGGAAGAGCATGGGGCTGCAGGTGGGAGGTTGGGTAGGGTGGAAAGAATCACTATGTTCCTAAAGTTGTATTTATGAAATGCAAGAAGTTTGTATACTTTAAATAAAAGGTTTCTAGGTAAAAAAAAACATTCTGATAACATTTAAAAAAACAAATACATTCTATTAAAATCAGCAGATTAACAGGAAAAAATATATACTGGATGAATTTTGTTTTAAAGATCCAAATTTTAGAGAAATAAAATCATCTAAGAAAGATGACAAGGCAAATTTAGGATATGAAAATAAATCTTTACATTTTGCATGATAGAAAAGCATTCAGTAGCATGAATGCCTAAGAATGTTAACTAAGGACAGACAAAAAATCGAAGTACTAATTTATCCTGGAATGGTGAGTAGGAGAGAGTTCTCTTTCATAGGAATAGTAGAGCTAAGAAAGGAGAGACAGGTTCATAATGAGGGGAAGTGAGAAAAATGAAACACTCCAGATTGAGGAAAACAATGCACCATTGCCTCATTGGAGAGTAAGCTTGGTATCAGAAGAGACTTGAGGTGCAAGTATAATAGAAAGTGGAGGGCCAGGGTCGGGAAGAACACAGAGTATGAGGCCCACAGTGGAGTATCCGGTACTTTCGTGATATCCCTCTCCCGCTGATAAATTCATCTCTGGTTCTGAGGCGACTATATGCCTCATTTGTCCCCGTTACATTGCAGAAGATTAACAAGTATGAATGCTGAACATCCAATAAGATTGAGACAAAGAAAAACATCAACTATTTGTGAACAGTTCAAGACAGTGTACCCTAAATCCAGTCATTGAACACTCTTCTAAACATTTAGAGATTGGTAAACTGAGAAAGAGAAATTGGCCTAAAACCAAGTGTCTGAAATAATCACATTGTTTTATTCTGGACACTGTTGTGAAAAAAATAACAGTGATCATAACAGTAACAACAATATAGAAGTATTCAATAGAACAGGTAAATTATCAAAGAAAACTCCAATCACATTAACAACATCAAAGACAATACTCACGCACAACACAGGTTCAGTGAGTATTAAATGAAGTGGAATCCACAATTTAGAGGAGGAAGTAGAGAAGCTGTGGACTCTCCAGAAAACATCACGTTCAGGTCATTGGTAACTTATTGGACGCAGGTTCTAGATTCCAGAAAGAAAGGAAAGAAAAAAAACATAGAACTGGAAAGACTGATTCAAGTAGAAACTAAAATACAACCCAAATGGGCCTATGCTAGTCCCAATATTCGAGTCCCAAGTCCTACTGCCCAATTTCCCTCTTTCACTGCTTACCATATAAGCCCTCACTGGAACACAAGACTCTCTGAAGCTTTCACATCTCCCAAAGTAGCCCTGTCAGGTCCAGCTGGGTTTTCAAATGGTCAGAAATCTGAGAATTACAGATGAGGGACAACAGGGGCACATTTAAAGTTTCTGTCCTCTCAAGGGTTGAATTCTCAGAGCACCTTGTTAAGTAAATTGTTATATTGTCTTCCCAAACTCCAAATGATTAGGCTTGTTGGGATACCACAAAGATAGCAGAAAAAAATGTTTAGAGTGCTTTGTTTCTTTCTAGGAAAATCAGAAGGAGTAGCTGGGTTTATTTCCTAAAAGAAGAAACTCTTTACTTTGATTTGATTGAAACACTGGAATATGTCCACTAGGTAAAGTGTGAATTCCACAAGGAACCAACCACAGTATACATCTCACTGCGATATGCTTTCCTTGAAGGATACTGAAGACTTTATGGCTTATATGATATATATTATATTAAATTCATCATAATTAATAGTGTCAAAGTAGCTAGTAATGTAACTGTAAGTACAGTCAACGTTGATGTTGGCTTTATATCTGTTTTAAATTTGTTGAACTTAGGAAAAGGATACGTATCATATAGACACCACATACACAAAATACCATCAATGTAATTTTTACATAAGCACATAAATAAGAAAACAACTGAAACCAAATATCATTTAAATGTTAATATTTGGTATTTCCAAGTGATAGGGATATGAATACTTATGATATTACTCTATATACTTTCTTATAGCTTTAAGAAATCTCAGCATAACAAAAAATACTACTCAGAGAAATGATCTTCTGCAGTCTATAAATTCAGTGAAGTTTATTAATATTGCGATTACTTGATATCCATATGCAGAAGAATAAAACTAGGCCCTCATCTCACACAGTACACACATATGTATGCAAACACTCATGTGTGCACACACAAAACATCAACTTGAAATGGATAAATCACTTAAATTTAAGACCTTAAAGTGTTGAGGCCAACATGTGGCACAGTGGGTTGAGCTGGTGTGTGCAAAGCTGGCATTCTGAATAAGCACTTATTCAAGACCCAGGTACTCCACATCAAATCCCTGCCAATAAGCCAGGGAAAACAGCAGAAGATGCCCAAGTACCAGATCTCTACCGTTGAACTGAGAGATCCTGATGAGGTTCTAAGCTCCTAAGGTCATTTGAGGAGTGAGTCAGCAGATGGAAGATGCCTGTCTGTCTGTCTGTCTGTCTCTCTCTCTAACTCTGCTTTTCAAATAAACAAATAAATAAATAAATCTTTTTTTAAAAAAAAAAGACATGGAAACATAAAAATACTAAAAACAAATACAGGTAGAAACTCCATGACATTGCTCTAGACAATGATTTTGGGATATGAAACCACAAGTTCAGGCAACAGAAGCAAAAATAGATAAATCAGGAGTGCATCTAAGGGGCTGGTGCTGTGGCATAGTAGTGGGAGTCCCTGCTGCTCATCTTATGATCCTTCTTGCTGCTAATGGCCTGGGAAAGCAGTGGAAGACATCCCAGTGCTTGTGCCCATGCACCCATGTGGGAGACCTGGAAGAAGCTCCTGGCTGCTAACTTCGGATCAGCCCAGTTCTGGCCATTGTGGCCATTTGGGGAGTGAACCAATGGATGGAAGACCTCTCTGTCTGTAACTCTATCAAATAAATGAATAAATCTTTGAAAAGAGTGTATCTCAGTAGAAAGTGCAAAGCAAAAGTAATAACCTACAGAGTGAACACACAATCTGTGGAATGGGAGAAAATTTGGAAACCATACAATGAATAAGGACTAACTGTTAAAAATAGATGAAACTCAAACAACTCAATAGAAAAAAGCAAGTAACACAATTAAGGACAAAGGATCTATTTCTAAAAAAAAAAAAAAATACATACAAGGGGCTGGCACTGTGGCGCAGCAGTTTAAAGCCCTGGCCTGAGCGCTGGCATCCCATATGGGTGCTGGTTCTAGTCCTGTCTGCTCCTCTTCTGATCCAGCTCTTTGCTATGGCCCAGGAAAGCAGTAAGAAGGCCCAAGTGCTTGGGCCCCTGCACCCATGTGGGAGACTAGGAAGAAGCTCCTAGCTCCTGGATTTGGATCGGCAGCTCCAGCCATTGCGGCCATCTGGAGAGTGAACCATCAGAGAGAAGACCTCTCTATCTCTGCCTCTCTGTAACTCTGTCTTTCAAATAAAATAAAATCTTTTTTAAAAAAAGAAGACATACAAATGGCTAGTGGGTATATGATATTCATCTGGTAATATAATTCAAAACCACAATGAAACACTTCTTCATACTCGTCAAAATGGCTCTTATGAATGATGATAAGTGTGGGTTAGGATGTTGAAAAAAGGGACCCTTTGACCCCTCATATTCTTAGTGGGAAGGTGAATTAGTGCAGTCTTTATGCAAAGCAGTATGTAATTATCCCCAAAATTAAAAATAGAAACCACAATGGGAAATGGCAATCCCATTCTTAGG